CCGTGTGTGAGCTGTAAACCATCCGGCCTTAAAGAAACAGAACCTCCGACAACAGCTGTCCCGGTGGAGACGCAAACACCAGCATAGAAGCAGTAACTGGGCTTTCTGCTGCCGACATCTGCTGGAAAAACACTGCAGTGCAGGGATGGAGGCAGAGAGGTATGGAGCGCCGAGAGTGCCAGAATGAAATAACTGCGTGCACAATTAGTTCATCAAAAGTGTCATTGATCTAGTCAAGTTGGAAATACATAAACAATAAATACATATTATTAATTAATTAAAATAAATATATTAAATCCATAATTAATTTCATTTAACATAATTATTTGATGATGCCTGTATCTGCATCATAAAATAATTAATAAATAATATTTTTTATTGCTCATCATCAGATGATACCTAACATCTGATTGGCTACCCTGCACAGAAACGCAAGACAGACTGAGCCCAGATTCACTCAGGCCGCATCTAACTGGTTTGATTTGTTTGTTCCTGAAGCTTCATGACTGGATAGTTTTAGTGCCTGACTGGACAGAAACATTTAGAGCAGTGTGTTGATGCTGTTCATGGATATGCTGAAGAGCGACGTCAAGCCGAGAAATGATTAAAATGTCTGTTTTTAATTTTTCTCAACTGGAATTTAAAGTTTTGGAAATGTACTAATAAAATACAATATAAAATATTAATAATAAAAATAATATTCTTGTTGCATATGTACCCTCTCTCCTCCCCAACAGGTGGACCAATCTCATTTAAACGTTGCACGAACATCATCACACATACAGCCTAAATACACAGTTACACAAATCATGCCTTTCGGTCTCCACCTGAAGGTTGTACTTGCTAATGTAATGATGTAAAAGAATGAACATGGTTTTGTTGCGGTTAAATTCCTGTTAAACTTGGGATTGCAACCATGGGTTTATTTTGAAAGATTCGATTTTAAAAGTCTGCTACTGGTAAACTGGTTTTCCCTAATCTTATCCCGTTAGTGGCAATGAAGCTTTTGCTGTGGTAAGTTCTTCCTCAGTCCGCCCTGACTGAACATGAGTTTAAAACATATTTGAAAATCCTTATTGAGGTTAGCATGACAGTGCATTAACAGCATGAACTGCCCATACAGTAGCATCTGAGTAGATTTCAGTTTTATGATCTTGTTTTGAAATTAATGGGTTGGACGGTAGGAAAAATGGACACGCTGAGCTAGCGGCTAACAGCTAGAGGAGTCTGTCGTGTCTAATAATTTGAAACTTCTCTTGATAGTTTGGGCGGAATCCTGTTGCTGGAAACCCATGGTTACTCATGTCCCATGTTATTGCAGAGACCCACAAAAGGGGAATAAACCACGCCTGAGCTCTACCCATCTCGAGTCCAGAGAGTTTTACTCATACACAGTGTTGGGACTAACGCGTTATTAAGTAACGCGTTACAGTAACTACGTTATTATTGTGGTAACGAGCGCAGTAACTAGTTATTATGCCAAAATCAGGAACGCGTTACTCGTTACTGGGATTTAGATAGGCTCGTTATTCGTTACTTCGTGTGGCGGCATCCCGGAGCTTCCACAGATTCAATAACATTAGCAAGTGGTGGAGGCAGCAGGTGGATGAAGGAAAAGGGACGCAGGAGGAGAGACCTGAAGCGGCCGCTGGTCCAAATGTGAACTGAACTTCAGGTAAGAAGTTCTGACCTGCAGTCTCTCTGGGTCAGATATGAACCAAGTTTAGGTGGAGTTTATTTTCGTTATTCTGACTTTTTCGTACTGCGTGCTAGCTAGCATGACGGAGTTTCTATACAGCTGGGTGGTGCTATGAAGTTACTGATGTTGAACTTTTATTTTGTTCATAAGGTTAATTATTAGAGTTGCCAACCGTCCTGTAAAAAAACGGAATCGTCTGGTATTCAGAGAAAATATTACGCGTTTCTTATTGAGGTGAAAAGGAACAGTTTGTCCTGGACTTCAGCTACAATGAAAAAGACACAAAGCTGGAGTTATTCTGTGTTTACGCTGCACAGCTGCCTCTTCTTCTCTCATCCTCTCACCCTCCCTCTCCTGTTTCTACTTCAATCATGAAACTGATCAATGATCAGCTGATCGGCTTCTCTCTTGTTTGTTTATCGCTCACTTTGCGCCGAAAGAGGAAACCAGCGGATGTCGCGCTAAACAACAGCAGCACGTTTAAGCTTGATCAGCTGTTGTTAGAATTTATTTAATATTAATTTCTAGTATCAGCTGATGTTTGCTGGAGCCACAGCTGTAAAGCTGCTGGTCATGATATGGTTTGGTTATCTGGTGAGAGGGAAACATGAAGATGAAACCAGGAGATGTCCTTACTGAATCATCAGAGCTGAACAGGTGATGGAGAAACAGGTTTACCTTTTAGGTGACATGAATGAGTTGAAGGGAAGTTATGAACTGTTTCTGAGAGACAAATAACCCCAGGATCCTTTTTTAGGTAGCTGACAGCTGGTAACTGTGCAGGGGCGGGTCTAGCAAAGTGTTGCCAGGGGCATGTAGGGCATTAACAGGGAAAGGGGGGCACAAGGAAATACTTTCTTATTCTCATTTAAAATGTCTCACTTTTAAAAAATAATTATCTGAATCTTACAACAAACGATTGATAGATTGATGCATATATACCATCAGAACAGTGAACATCACTGTCACAACAGTGTTTGTTTTCATTCAAAGGCTTTATGATTTTTCCTATAATGGTGGGCCGGTCTCTAGTCAAAATGCCCGGGACGATTTTTTTGTCCCAGTCCAGCCCTGTATGCAGCTCATCTGCAGTCTGGTGTTACCTACATCTTCCTATTCAGAAGGCAGAATTTCCGAGTTCTGAGTACAATCGAAAGCACCACGACTGCAGTTTTTGTGTTGGATGTAAAAAGCAGGCTAGGATAGAATCAGGCGTGGGATTTCTCTCGTGGAAATGTGCACATTATTTTTTCCTTTCTATTGGTAGGTGGCACAGTGCACTTGTGGCAAGTAAGCAAGCTAGAAGACTGGCAAAGTTATGGAAGCAACACATTAACAAGAGAATTCTGAGTAAAACCAAAGTTACTTTCCCTAGTAACTAGTTACTTTGAAAGTAACGAGTAACTTGAAGTAACTGAGTTACTTTTGATAGAAGTAACTAGTAATGTAACTAAGTTACTAATTTAAAGTAACTTACCCAACACTGCTCATACAGCACCGGACATAGAGACTGCGTGGGTGGTCATAATGGGATGGACACAGTCAGCAACGATGGTAAGCTGTGCTCAGTGGTACTAAGAGATCCAAATTATGTCAAGAAAATGTCCATCATTACACCAGGAGCAGCAGGAAGGAGTCACGCTGTTTACACTAAATTCTGGCCCTGCCATAAATGTCACAGCAGACATCAGGACTCCTCAGACCAGGCAATGTTTTTGCAATATTCTGCTGAGCCCCTGAGAGCTGTAGCCTGGGTTTCCTGTCCTTAACTGAAAGGAGTGGCACCAGATATGGTCTCTGGCTGCTGTAGCCCATCCGTTTCAAGGTTCAATGTGTTCAGAGATGCTCTTCTGCATAGCTTGGATGTACAGAGGCATTTCTGAGTTACTGTTGCCTTCTTATCAGCTTGATGCAGCCGAGCCCTCTCCTTTGACCTCTGGCATCAAAAAGCCGTTTTCACCCAGAGAACTGCTGCTCACTGGATATTTCCTCCTTCTCAGATCTTTCTCCATAAACCCTACAGAGGTCATGTGGAAAAACTCAGTAGATCAGCAGTTTCACACTCAAAGTCACTTAAATCACTCTTCTTTCTCATACTGATGCTTATTTTGTTCTTCAGCAGGTTGCCTTGAACATGTTTGTATCCCTAGAGGCACTGAGTTTCTGCTACATGACACAGAATCAGGTTTTCATTCATTCTTTCCTGTTCTTGAATGAGTCTTTGGTGCTTTGGGTTCACTCTGAGAGCAAAATCAAATATGTGTTGTAAATATCTGAGATTGTTAATGAAACAACAGCAGCAGACAAGAAGGAATCTCTAAGAGCGTAAACATTAAGGCCAGTAAGGCCAAAGCCATGTCACAAATGTCCATCAGCACCAAAATGTAGCAGCTTCTTCTTTTGCACATGCTCCACCTCTCAGCTGAGTTCATTGATTTTTGTTCTTGGTTTTTGTGTAGTTCTGCTGACAGGGAGCTTTAGAAATGACACCAAAAACAATCTCATGTCACATTTTTATTAGTTCAACAGACATCTACACTGATGTGTTACTCACAACTGCACTGGACTGTATTCACATGGCTGTGCCTTTGTGTGTGAGCTTTGCTGCATTCTGAGTAAACATCTTGTGATTAAGAGATGCAACAACCTCAGCAAATATCCAACATGCTTCTACTTAACTATTAATTAGAAGCACGTCTAACCAGCCCAAGAAAATAAATGGGCTCGTTCACTGAGTAAATAAAATACTCTTTGATGTCCACAGGGTGGCAGTGTTGTCCTCTGTGTTTTCAATGATTTGCATAACAGTCACGTGGACACCCAAAACCATCTGCATGTAGGCTTTCTGGATATACAGTATTGTATGTATATGTATGTATATGTATGTAATGCCAATTCACAACTACAATTGCCTCACGTTGCTTTATTATGAGGACTACATAATGAGGTTTTGCCTCCTTTTGATGTCACTGAGAGTGCACATCCTAAATACTGTAACATTAAGACGTGGAGCGTGTGTCTGAGGTGTCAGCCTAGTAAGAATGACAGCTGGGTTCAAACAGCCACTGGATTGAAAAACAAAATAAATAAATTAAAACCAGTCACAGTAGGTCCACTCGAATGCTCCACCACTGCTAACTGAATAAATACAGTCAGGAAGACAAACTAAGGAGCCTTTCCAAAGTAACTAATCAGCTGCTGATTGCACATGGAATTGAGTTTTCTGGTATTATTGAAGTTACCTGTCCTAGCTAAAATATTAACTATTCAGTCATATTCAGTTTGAAAACAGCTCAAAAACTTCAATATTTTCAACCTTTATTTGAAGTAATAAATGATTCGGTATGCCAAGAAACTGAATATGCGTTCATTTTTTTCTGGGTTTTGTGTTCCCTTTGTCCTTGTTTGGCTTCTTTCCATCGCTGGCTGCATGAAGTCTGGCTTGATATTGTTTCACTATGTCATTTTCATCCTCGGAGAACATCTGCAGCTATAAGAAGAAGGTAGGGAACAGGTGGTTATGTTGATCATTTCCTGCTGCTCTAGCTCTTTGTCAGTAACTGATCTGCGAGTTTACCTTGTTCAGCTGCGTCTCTGTGTCATTCATATCAACTCCTTCCTTTTCTCCTATGGCACCTGCTGTCATTTCATAGAGGTTTAGGATCGCCATCTTAATCTTTCCCAGTTGTAGTGTCTTCTTTGCAGCTGTTTCCTGAATGTGGTTCCACTTTTGTTCCTGTATGAAGACAGCAACACATAATGCCATTCACAGTGTATATTTGACCTAGCCTTAGTTCTGCTGCAGGACTGTGATCCAGGATTGTGTCCGGTACCCATGTGAGAGCTTCGGCCTGAGTCTTCTCTAGCTCGGTCTGGAGCTGAGACAGCAGACTGTTTTTCTGCATTACCACCAAGTTGTGCTGGTCCTGCAGGGTTAACAGTGCTTTCTTCTGCTGGTCGACCTCATCCTGCAACTTCATCTCCTTCTGGTAGAACTGATCTTGAAAATGGAGCAGACTCTCTGTGTAGTCTGCGAGAGCCTCAGCATCCTCAAACTGTAACACACAGACATACACACAGCTTTGCTTGCAGCTTTATCTTCAGTGTTTTCGGTGGAGGAATCACTGTTTAACATCATAATTATCATCATTAATAATAGATACAATACTTATGGATGGTGCTCTGTGCTCTCTGTGCTGGAGTTTGACACACAGCAGGTTTTCCCCCACACGTTTTCATACAAAAAGCAACCTTTGATTGGCTCCGTTTTATTTCGGTATTCCCTGTTCTGCATGGTTACTGTTAGTTTTACTTTTCCCAGTCTCATTTTCCCCTTTGACTTTCAGCGGTTCCTTCACTCACCCTTCTGTCTTCCCCTATGTTTTCATCTCATTGTCTGCTTTTGCTTCTTGTTCCTCTTCCTCGTTAGCTTCCAGTGTTCCCCTTTTTGTATTTTGTTTAGCTTGTGGGTTCTGCTATTAGACTGATAATAGTTCACCTGTGCTTGTCTCAACACAGCACTGGGACTACATTTTCCTGCAGACTCTAACTGTATGCTTTTTAATACTGTAAAGCTGGTATTTTAACATGGGAGTCATGAATGGATGGATGGATAAATAGTCAAATATTGATATTTGATATCTGAGATATTTCTGAAACAGTGTTTGGTACTGTTGTGATAACTGCTGTGTATATTCCACCAGATGCTGACGCTAACTTGGCGCTTGTTCATCTGCATCACACAGTCACAGAATGTATCCTAAGGCTGTTCACATCATAGCAAGGACTTCAGCCACGCTGATTTAATAGCAGTTAATCCTAAATTCCATCAGCTACAAGGAGAGCAGATACACTGGACAACGTCTCCCCCAGCATCAGGGCTAACCCTCTACCACACCGGGGCCAGTCTCTATGTCCCTGCTCTTGTCCCGAGGATCCTCTGAAAGAACCAAATCAACTAAAAAACAACTGGTGTCCTTCTCTTGCTGCTCCATAAAGTGCAGATTGACATATTTAATCTGTATGAGATTTGACAGCTGCACAGCATCAGAGAAGAAAGTGCTCTAAAGGGTCCTCATCATCACCCAGAAGATCATCAGATGCCTGTCTCTCGCCTGTAAAGTCTTTGACAATTCCTATTACCTCAAAGTAGGACATTAATAACATTAAATTAAAATTAAAACACCACAATGAGACGTTCATCCCACCCTGGTCACTTTGTTTGAAAGTCTGTCCTCTGGCAGACAGTTCAGGACAATAGAAACAGAGATAAGGGTAAAAAAAAATAATGACGTAGTAGATCAGCTATGGTATGAATTTCAAAATCATATGTCTCCTCATACTTGTCGCCAAGTTATTACATTCACCAAGTTGTCCACGCCGCCCACCCGCTCCAAGAGGTAGCGACAATACCCCACTAGCCTGGAACAGCTGAGGGGTGAAAATGATTTGGATCCAAAAGTCAAATAAATACACACACACACACACACACACACACACACACACACACACACACACACACACACACACACACACACACACACACACACACA